GAATTCTAAAACCTGGTACTTGTGAATGTCATTTTATTTGGAAATGTATCTTTGCAGAGGTAAAAAGTTAAGATAAGGTCATACTAGGATGGAAAAGACCTTAAGTGAGTAACTGGGATCCTAATAAGAAGAAGGAGATTTAGACATTGATACAGACATAGGAAGAAGACCATGTGACAATGAAGGCAGAGATTAGAGTGATTAATCTACAAACCAAGGGCAGCCAGGTTTGCAACAACCAGAATCTAAGAAATGGCAAGAAAGTGTCCTGACCTGGAACCTCTGGACAGAGATTACAGCCCTGTTGACATCTGGATTTAGGATTTTCAGCTATGAACAATGAAAGAATACATTTTTGCTGTCTTAAGTCATCTGGATTGTTGATAATTAGTTATGTTATCTGTAATGCTAAACACTGTGACTCTGATGTGCCAAATGCGATAATGGTTAGCCATGGTGGACAGTGTTTGGTGGAGCTCCCCAGTTAAAACAAGCTTTGAAGCAGGAGTGGCATCCACTTCCAAAATAGCTTGCCTCCAAACTAGCTTCCCTCCAGAAACTCTATGAACTTGGAGAAACAATGAAAATGTTACAAGTGTTCAGGTCTTTCGTTCATCTACGACTCAATGGCACTTAACAACAACAACAACAACATCTTTAGGAGACTAACACAACCATCTTAATTCTGCTACTGTAGAATAAATCTTATTTGTTATTCCCAGTTTTTCAGAATGTTGCTCAGAACTGGCTGTTATTCATTTACAAACTATAGCATTGGCAATGAGCCTGATGTTAGATCTATTTTACCTTTGTACAAACACACATACACAGGTAAGGATGCAGATAAGCAGACCTATGAATACGGAGATCACTGAAAATAGAGAACCATTTTTCTAGAATTTCATTCTCCTAAGAGAGACCAACAAGCCAGGGACAGTGTCCACAAGATCTCTTAGCTCAGGCCTTCTGTGATGTTGAACTCAGAATTCTTTCTTAAGATCAGGATTTTAACTCTTATTTGTATAACTCCAAAGCCCACTCAGGCTTTCAACTATCCTGTATTATATATACACAAAGTGAGATAAAATTTTTAACAGAATAAAAGAACTAGATTAGAGTTCCTAACACCCATAAAGATAAGTACATTAATAAGCTTTCACATCTTTGATTGATCAAATATTAATATTTATAAAATTTTCTTTTAAAACACTATTAAGTTATGAAACACAAATATTAATCTTGATAAAATTTTTCTGGCAATTGATATGTAGGTACCAAGAGAACAAACAGTCTGGCCTGGATAGGGTGAAATCAAGTTGCTCTCTGGAGGTTAGGATTTGGAAGCTGTCACTCAAATACTTTGGGCATGTGGCCAGGAGGGACCAGTCCTTAGAGAAGGACATTGTGCTTGGAAGGGGGAGGGACAACACTGGAGAGGAAGATCCTGGATGAGATGGATTGACACGGTGACTGGGGTAATTGGGGTAGGTGTGTCAGAGACAATGAGACTGGCTCAGGATAGGACAGGGCTTACAGCTATTATTGTGCATAGGGTCACTATGAGTCATAAGCAACTTTACAGCACATAACAATAACAATAGTTTTGACTTATGAACAAATTCAACTTAAAGACAGATTTAGGAATGGAACTTCTTTGTAATCTGGGAACTGCCTGCATACTGGTTTACAAAAGTCAAAATCACAACATCCTACTTCATGGACTATATCATGGATGTTGAGTGACACATGGCTCTGTGTGCGTATTTACAAAGATGTGTTACATTTCTTTGTAAAAGCATCAAGGAGCTAGTAGGACAGTGAGAGAAAACCATACAAAAGCCCCCGAAAAGCAAAGAGGGGGACAGTGTTCTACCATGTCACCAACTTGCCTCTTCTAGACTGTACAGGAAAAGCTAGAATGGTCAGGTGCCCAGTTTTTATTTAGAGCTTGAAACATTTGAACTTTCTGAATAGAAAAAGAAATTGAAGAAGGGTGGGACCAGTATGTTAACTCTAAAGACACAGAATGTGTGTGCTGCTGCCTCATGTCCTAGGACTTCTGCCGAAGGCTGTTTGGTGGGGAGAGGGAGAAAAGGATCTTGTGACAGTGCAGGAACACCAGGTAACAATGCACAACTTTTCTGCTGCCAAGATGTTTAATTAATATTGTTTTTCCAAATAGTAACAATGCAACCTTCCATTTTTTTTCCTAACATAAAACTTGTTGATTTGTATTTGCTAAAAGCAACTTAGAACCTGGTTCTATTTTTTGCATCAAATCCTAATGTATAAAGACTTGTCCACCTTCTAAGTTATTGGAAAGTGCTATTAAAACAAGTATACTTCAAAACATCTGTGAGATATCATCTCACCACAATAATAGCAAAATCCAATAGGGCAGCAAACAACAAATTCTGGTGAAGCTGTGGAGAGATTGGAACTCTATTTGCTGCTGGTGGAAATGTAAAATGGTAGAGCCACTATTGAAGACAGTCTGGAATTTTCTCAAAAATTTGGACATAGAAATACATTTGACACAGCAGTTCCACCACTGGGAATATACCCTAAAGAAACCAGAGCCAAAACTCAAACAGATGTACACACTCCCATGTTTATTGCTGCATTATACACAATAGCAAAGAGATAGAAGTGACCCAAGTGCCCATCAACAAATGACTGGATAGAAAAACTATAGTACATTCATTCACACAATGCAATTGCTGTGCAATATTGAAAAATAATGAATTTGTAAAACATTACACAACATAAGGGAGCCTGAAGAACATTATGCTGAGTGAAATATCTCAGTCACAAAGGACAAATAGTGCATAACATCGCTATTGTAAAATAGGACAGATATGAAGGCTGAGTTGGGAAAAGAATGGGATAAGAATGGATAGACAATGTACACTGCAGTAAAATAGAAGAGGGGAAGAACTGTCTAAAAGGCATATATAATTAGGCATTATACACATGACAACAATCTGGAACAAGGGGTGCATTGTGGGAGGGCTGGGGGAGGGGGAGAAGGGGAAAGAAAATGTGCAACAATGAAAAAAATTAGAATAAAACATTTTTTTGTTAAAAAATTAACAAGAAAACAAAACAAAAAACCCCCAAGTGAACTTCTTTTTTTTTTTACTTTTAAATTTATTATTAATTTCAGTAAAAATTTACAGAGGCTTTGGATTTCCATTCATTCATTGTTGCACATTTTTCCCCTTCCAATCCACCCCCCAGAATACTACCCTCTTGGAAAAGTAAAAGAAAAATTCTTTCCTTGTTTTACAAACCCTCCCCCAGGTCGACTCCACCATGTAGCCATTGCTCTAGACTCCTGTCATGACAGAAATACCTAATCACATATCTCTTTTAAACCGTTTTCTCCCTCCTCTGTTTCAGTGCAGTATATATTATTGAACCCATCTTAATCCGTCTATCCCCAACCCCAAGGTCAGTCCTCTTTTACAATAGTGGCACCATGCAATATTTGTCCTTTTGTGACTGGAATATTTCACTCAGCATAAAATGTTCTCCAGAGTCAACCATTTTGAATAATATTGCATGAGTTCCTTGTTTTTCAATGCAGCATAGTATTCCATTGTGTGAATATATCACAGCTTCTCTATCCATTCATTTGTTGATGGGCATTTAGGTTGTTTCCAACTCCTTGCTATTGTGAACAAAGCCGCAATAACCATGGATGTGCATATATCTGCTTGGATGTCAGTTATGGTCTCTTTGGGGTATATTCCCAGTAGTGGAATTGCTGGGTCAAATGGTATCTCTATTTGCAACTTTTTGAGAAAGCGCCATACCGCCTTCCACAGGGGTTTCACCATTTTACATTCCCACCAGCAGTGAATCAGGGTTCCAGTTTCTCCACAAGCTCACCAGCATTTGTTGCTTGCTGTTCTGTTAAATTTTGCTATTTTGACTGGGTTGAGATGATATCTCATATTTGTTTTAATTTGCCTCTCTCTTAAAGCTAGGGATTTTGAACATTTCTTCATGCGCTTGTTAGCCATCTGAATGTCGTCTCCGGTGAAGTGCCTGCTCATATCCTGTGCCCATTTTTCTATTGGATTATTTACCTTTATCTTGTTGTGGTGCCATGTGAACTTCTAATTGTCAATACTTGTACAGTTTGATGTTAAATGAACATGGCATGTCGTTATTAGTAAACAACTCACATAATATGTACCTTTTTGGTGGCTGTTTATTTTGAAACTCCTTGGTGCTCTTTTCCTTCTTAACCAGATATATACACATTCCATCTTGACCTTAAGCAAGCCTGGCCATCATGGAATTGGCTGTCATGATGCCAATATGATCGATAATATGGCAGAAAATGCAGATATGAGAGTTGTAGACTTGCACAAGAATGACAGAAATGTTATAAATCAAATACTTTACAATTTATGCTAAAAGTTGTCTTAGAATCCAACGCCCCTAAGTTTCACAATCAGTTAACATTTGAAATGTTAAGAACAGCTTGTGATGGGAGAAAAAAGTGCCAGAATGTGGCAGTTAGGAGAACAGGCTTGGGACACCTGGATACCTCAGAGAGTCCTTAGGCAAGCTTCCCAACTTTCTGAAGTGTGTTTATAAAATTAGGATAATACTTTCTTTCTCATAGGAGACTATTATGATTAAAGGAGTAATGTTGATCAAGTTGGCTAGTTAGCATCTAAGTTGGAATAGGTGACAATTAAATCATAGTCATTGCTGTGATTATTAAGATTGGGTTTTCTTTAGTCTTCAGTTATCAGTGCTAGATTTCCATCTCTTGGGTCCCACCATACCCAGGGCTTTGCAACTGTAGTCCACCTTGCTACTAAATTTTAAAGAACTATTAGTCTTTGCCACTAACAATATTCTCTTTAAAAATGTTCTCATTTTGCTCATTATCAATATCCCTCTTTTAATATTATAGTTAAAATGGGATGTTACCATTAAATCCAAGAAATTTCTTATGAAGCCCTTTAAATTCATCTTACTTGCAGTCTTCGGGGTGGATGCCTTTTAATAATACTTGTTTCTCTCTTTTCCAGTGGGATGTCAAAATACATGGCCCTGGGCACTTGAAGGATGAGAGAAGAAACAAGAACACAATGTTAAAAACAATTTACTACTAAATTAAGTTGATGACTTATTTTTAGACTTAGTAACAGAATTTTGTCTCCAACCTATATATTGAATGTGGAGATGAAAGACATAAAGCAAGAACTCAATAGGAATGCAAATGATAAAATATTAACTGCCACATAGTATTTCTTTTCTTCTTTCTTCATTTCTTTCCCAGCTTCAAATGCAGAGAAACTAAACAGAAATATATTGACCATAAATGTGTTCAAATATAAAACTTGTCTTGGAAAATGGAAAGTAGTGATACTGATTTTAATTCCAAAGAATTTCTGTAAAATAATAAAAAATAATTCACAGAGAAGAGAACTTTAACACATGACAAGAAATTATCTTTCAGATGAAATAGAGACAAAAAATTATCTTTCAGATGAAAAAGATAAGTAGATACACGACAGAAAAGTGATAAAGGAGTGAAGTATGAGTATGTAATAGGATTTTTCCATAGATTTCTCATATCTCCACTTGTTATCCATATTTCACATTTATGAGGATAGTAAAAGAATCTGACTATTAATGACATATGTTTAGCGATAATGAAGACAGAAGTGCAAAGTAAAAATACTGCTGGCTTGGTGCTTAAGATTGGTGGTCAACTTGGCCATAATCCTCAGTGGTTTGGTAAATTACATAATGATGTAATTCAGAAGTCGTATAATGGTGCAATCATCTTCTATTTTATGATTGGAAGTGATCACCCTTCATTTTTGCAAAATAGTAACTTTCACATAACAGCTTGGTCTTTGGTAAGCAGTGCAACACAGTATGGACTACGCCATCAGAGTTTAACAGTTTGAATTTTGGGATATATGAATAAGTGTGATTGTGTACCATCAAGTTGGAACTGACCCATAGCTTACCCCCCAGCTAGTTTCTGTGCGTGGTAAACAGCTGGGAGGAAACATATAGGGACAAATATATTTAAATTTTTAAATTTCATGTATCTCCTTTCAATTACATAATTCTCATAAAATATTTTTCATGTCTTGTGAACTATTTAGTTATAATTTATGGCCTCATCACTCTCAAAGTTGCCAATAATGTGAGAAATAATTGCCTTGGTGTTCTGCAGATGATCATGAAGGAATTGGGGTTGGGGACAGAGTGACCCATCCATTCTTCTATACTGCAATAAATCAATTCTATTTGGGGCAGTTTCCAAATTCACGCTAGAATAGATTTGTTTCTAATGTGCCACTTTCAAAACAACAAAGCTTTGAACTGTGGTGGAGAGAATGATTTAAATTTAGAATCTAACTGAAACATATGATTGCTATCATTTATCACATCAATAACAATATAATTTTAATGGCCTGATAAATCTGTGTGTAAATATTGGAAGCATTATAAGCTAAGTTGAAACAAAACAACTTTCTCTCTCCTATATGAAATTTGTCTAAAGTCTAACGTTTACCAGTTGTTCTAATGCCCTCAGAAGAATACTTTCAATTGAGCATTGAGTCTCAAAGATATTCCTTTATGTTTCAGTAATATATAAACTTCTTACAGATTGCACTTTGTGGCCCACAGAAGCAAACTTCTTGCTGGGTTTTAAGCTTACCTGCAGAATATCTTCCATACCAAGTCTCTCGGAGGGGTGGCAGCTGCCCTTCCAAAACCTTTGTTCGGTCGTGTTGTCTGTCGAAGGAATATAAACTATTTTCTTCTAGATCCTTGTTGAATGTGAAGTCCACAGGGCAGGCTGAGGGAATTTCTTCTCCATTTTTGTTTAAAGGTGCTACTTTGGTCACCCTAGGGTGAGTCTTAGAGTGGCCCAGGCCCATCTCACCTTGAAAATATCAAAGGAAAGCCATGATGGACCAAGTAAGTTAAAACCAAGGTATTGCAAAAGTGTCCTCTGAGTTTTTTTCCTCAGCTTTGCAAAGTAGTCTTTTCCTTCATGGAATCTTTCTAGCTGTTTCACCATGCACTAAACCCTCTGGCCACTCCCTGGGAGGTTTGTAACCATGGATACTTCCCTTGCCTCCTACTTGACCATTCCAGACCCAAAGAGTCCAGTTAAACATTGACTTGGTTACACCAGTTTGTGAAGGATTCAGAGGTAGGAAATAAAAACCACTGTTGATCATTAAACAAATCTCTAACACCATGAAATCCATTACTAGAGATGTTTAGCACAGGGTTAGAGAATTCTTAAACTTGACCCTTTCATTGTATTTACCTTTAATAACTATCTGTAAGCATCATCAACTCTAAATGCTACATCACCTTTGCAAATAAGGAGATATAGACTATTCATTAAGGCATTTATTGATATTTAATTTTTATTTAAAATATCTTCCAAACAGGAAAATAAACCAAATAGCTAAAGATTAAACCTCTCTGTTAATAACTTGAATTGCCTTAGAAAGGAGTAAATGCATTGTAGAACATCATAAAGACAAAAGGATTTGGGGTTTTTTCAACCCTTTGAGGGTATGGGGCAGACTTCTTGAATAAACGATGAAAAAATCCCTAGTTTCCAAACATAGTCTTTTAACTGTGTTTTCAAAAATACTTACGAAAAACCCAAAATGTGTTGAAATGCTAAGTTCTTCTTGAATGATGGGGTTATTTTTTTAATTTTATTCTTCATCCTTGGGAGTAGAAATGAATTTCAAGTAGTTCTTATTGTTCACTGTTGTCATTATATACTATTGAGTTGGAACTGACGCATAGGTAATCCTCTAACAGATTTTCAGAGGCAGGAAATCTCGAGGGAGGTGATATCTTTCTCTCGCAGAGCACCTGGTGGATTCAGTGACTCGGGTAATGGGGGTAGGTGAGTAAGAGACAGTAAGATTGGCACAGGATAAAGCAGGGTAGAGGGCTGTTGTTCATAGGGTCGCTATGAGTTGTAAGTGATTCAACGGCACATAACAACAATGACAACAGTAACCTCTGGGTTGTTGGTACACCTCCTTACCCTAACCATCTGCGTTTCCTACTTGTTGACACTCATAGATTATTTGGCCTTTTGTTACCAGAGGCTTTATTATATTCCCTTAGATAAGTACAAAAAAATCTATTCTTCATTTTAAATGTTATTTGCTAAGGAGTTTACAGGGTTTTTAAGAAAGCTGTACGGTGAACAGAGTTTCTCTAATAAGAGAGATCTGGGTTTAATTTTTTTCCTGCTTCTCCTTTTGTATTCTGCTTACAATTTTCTTTGTAACAAAGTGACTTTGGGGAAAAAGGAATAATCTGTTTCTAGTACGTGTAAACAAAGGATCCCTGTTGGTATAGTGGGTAACATACCTGTCTGCTAAAGAACCAACAATTTAAATTCACCAGACCATTCCCGGGAGAAGATGCACAGTCTCCTTCTGTGAAGATTTACAGCCTCAGAAACCAATAGAGGGTTGCTACGTGTCAACAACCACCTTTGGTAATTAGAGTCTATCTAAACTACAAAGATAAAATTCCTGACTAATACCTAACTACATTAATTTTTGCACACATTTAGTA